TGTCATCAGTTCTCTCAAAAGTACCAGGACATTGTGTGCAAAAGCTTGGCAGCCTCCGTGAGATGGTTCACTCAGTATAACCCAAACCGAGTTCAAAATCAACACAGCAATGGAAACTTGATACTGTTTTTGAGTCCATTACATTACTATAGTGTTAAAACCGGCTGATTCCACTGATTCACTGAGTAAGAGTAACTAATTCCTTATGTTGGAATTATCTTTAGATGTTTAGCCCCTTAGGTTCACAAACTCTTTATATCCTAAGATTCATTATTCCTTAACTTTGTTGAAAAACCCTGCAATCCGACTCAGTAATTCAGGGCAATTCCACCAATTTTTCCAAATTTCTGCATAATTCAGTGGTTGAGATGTAAACAGTGGTTGAGACTCAGATCTCTTTACAGTGGTGCTGATAGGAACCAGGGGTCACGGTGTCTGCAACACATAACTGTTTTATTTACTACGCAAAACATCCAGTGTACCTACATGTGTCTCCTGAGTTTTTGTATGTAATACTGATGATGGTAAAATAGTGGTAATCTGAAATAATCCCTCATTGTTATCTTTCTTTGGAGGCTATTTATCGACACTACACCCTGCATGTACCTCCCCACCTTCAATTTAAGCGATTTAAAAATATATTTTTAAGCCAAAAGTTTCTCAGAACTATTGTAAAACAATGTCTCAGGCATCAGGCTGAGCATTCATAACCATTTCACATAATAACTTTAAGTCAGGGAGCTTTTAGAGGCATTGAACTCCTCAGACGTCTGGTTCCTATCACCACCATGGTGAACAATTCTGACTCAGTAAGGTTTTACATCAAAGCATTCTGAATGGCTTTGTTTGCATCATAACCCTTTGATTATGCAGAAATTTTGAGACATCGGTGGAATTCCCCTTTAAGTCATAGGAGTGAGATATGGAGGTCTGATTCTGTCTGAAGCTCCATTTAATGGGTTAATGATATAAAGCATTAGTGCTTAATGACTTTCAGATTTCTAAAGTTTTTACGAGTACTTTTTTTCGCACATGGTCAGTTCTAAGTTGTCTTGCTTGGACCTAATTAACTTCAGCTGAACGGCAAATATATAGCTGCATGCAAAAGTCTTGGCACCCCTTACATGTTTTGTTGATTTTCTAAGTGAAAGTAAGTGAACACATTCTCTACAGGGAACACACTTCTGCACGTTTTAATGCACAATTTAATTCCCCCCTTAAGCTTCAAGGTCTGCGTCTTGGCTGAATTTGGAATATATTATGTAATATTAAAAAAATGAAATGTGCAATGGCATTAGCAATATCTTGGCTGATGATTCATTAATTAAGGATAAGTATTTCTTTTTATTTTGGAAATATCTTGAGTTAAAATTAGTTTGCGAGCAATAAAAGCAAATAACCGTATGTATGTATGTCATTTTTTTAACGCACATATCATATGTGCGTTATATGATATGATAGTGACTTGGGCTGGCAAATATATATATTTCCATTACAAGAAATAAAATTGTAAATAAATGAAAAAATGTAACATTAAGCCATAGTCGTAGTCTTTTATTAACCTCTTAAACATCTTTGTCCACATCCTGAGGCTTATCATTCAGTACATGACTGAGTTACTGTGAAGTTATAGGAGTCAGGAGTGGAAGTAATTGTAAAACATGGCGAGCAATATTTGAAGGTCTGCTGGTGGTCCTGGGACCCTTACTGAGATTAATAGCGTCATTAATTCTCTGGATAGTTTATGCAAAATCCTGGCTACCTCTGCCTGGAGTCTGCGTCTTCGCTGAAGATAAATCTTTCAGTTTGACAGTGATTAAACATACAGTACAGGATATGTCTTCACCGCCCACTCAGACAAGTTTCTCTAAAGTAGCAACTTTTTGCCGGAGAATACAAAGAAACGTTTACCTTTTAATACAAATTAATCAAAAATAATTTTATTCCGAGCATTTCTACTGGTCTGTTCATCATAACAGTTCTACACAGTGTAAAGTTCAGCTGCTAGGATCAAATGATGTAGAAAGGAAACAATCGGGGAAAACAGAGATGGACAGTGACATTACTGTCATAAAAATAACTATTTTCTCAATTATTCTGCTTTTTGTGATCCAATCTATTTATTTTCAAGAAAACGCAGACACATCAGTATTAAATATAATAGAAAGTGGCTGTTGCAAAATGGAGCAATACATATATATATATATATATAAATATATATATATATATATATATATTCACAATGTCACCTATCCTTTTAGCCACACTTTCTGAAGTGTTTAACACCCCTCCACACCCCCTCCCTCCCTTCCACCACAATGACTGTGGACCGTTGCAGTTGTTAGTTTCTTTTTAAATGATTATAAAAAATGCTTTTTTTTTCATGCGCATGGTCATGTGAGTCTAGTCTTGTTTGGGTGTTTTGAAATTTTAGCTGGACGTTACATATGTTTCCAAGAAAATTAGTATGCGAGCAATAAAAGCAAATAAATAAAGAAAAAGAAGGAGTAGTAGTAGTAAGAGTAAGAGTTGTAGTCCTTTATTAACACTTTAAAATCCCAGGTTCATCCTAAGGCTTATTATTCAGTAACTACACGGACCACAGTGCAGACTGGCCGAGTTATGGTTACATTATAGAAGTGAGGGATGATTGTTTGGACCCCCTTGTAGCTCCTGGTCATTTCAGAGGTTAACATAAGCATATTTGTCTACATCCTGGTGCTTATTATTCAGTTCATGACTGAGTCATTGTTAAGTTATAGGAGTGAGGAATGGAAGCTACTGTGAAACATGGTGAGCAATATATGAAGCTCTGCTGGTGGTCCTGGGACCCTTTCTGAGATCAATAGCGCTATTAATTTTGGGCAAAATCCTGGATACCTCTGTCTAGAGGCTGAGGATGAATCTTTCAGCATGACAGTGATTAAACATACAGTTCAAGATCAACAATCAACAAAGAATTATTGTCAATACATTGTGACGTGGCTGTGTTAGTCCAAAAGAATGCATTATATTATTATCAAACCACGATGTAAAAGTCACCTTTGTTGTCTTGGTAATGTATCAATTCTGTTTATTCAATCATTTCCATTGATTCATTCATTAACCGTAACATGTTGCTCATGTTGGGAATATCTTTAGGTGCTTAATCATACAGAGCAATAGTACTAAAAGACTTTTAGACTAATAATGCTTTTAACTGCACAGGGTCTTTCAATTGTTATGGAATATTTACATCAAACATGTTTCCAGGAAAATTTGTATGGAAGTCATAAAATGAAATACATAAAGAATTAAATGAAAAGTAGTTGTAGTGGTAAGAGTAGCACCTTATTCACTTTATTAACTCCTTAATCCTAATTATGCAGTAACTACATTACTGGATCACTATTAACTGATGGGGGTGAGAAATAGAGGATGGTGTTCACGTTTAGATGCTCTGCTGGTGGTCCTGGGACCCTTATGGGGATTATTAATTCACAGAAGTACTAGAATATTTTGTGCAAAAACCTGACTGCTTGTTCCTGGATGCTGCATCATGGACCCTCCAGTATGAGATTGATTGAACATACAGTTTAATATCAAGGAAAAACTGATGGACTATAAGTTTTGTCATAACGTCTGATTTATGCTCTATAAAATCTACAATAATGAAAATAATTGGGTGAAAAATACAGACAAATTGTAATTCATATTTTTCAAAGTAACTTTGCCGTGGGTGGGGTATAAAATGAACTCATTAACTAAAAAATATCATGCAGGCTTTATCAGATCTGCAGTCTTAAGCAACCGTTTTGGCGCCACTGATCAGATAAGATGCTCTGTTGAAAATATGTTAACACGTCCTCTAAAGAGGAACACACTTCTGCACATTTTAATGCACAATTACTGTTTATTTGCTGAATTTTACAAACTGGAAAAAAAAAATACAAATAAAATGTGACCTGTGTGGAAATTACAGCACATTGATATGTTATAATATGTTAAACTCAGCAAATAACTGTTAACTGTTATTAAGCGTTAACTTATTTTTTAATCAACACAAAGTGTCATTTGAGCAGGGGTGTTCTAGCTTTTGCATACGACTGTGCGCCGTGGATATTACTTGCTAAATACTCAGTAAAATTCAGTTTTTGGGGTCAATTCTATGCATCATTTGTTTCCAAACAAAAGTAAAACAACTAAATTATATATACATTATATATATAATTATATAATTTATGAAAATACTTTTTCATTTGGCCTGAAAGGCCAAATGAAAGGCCTGTTGTCCTTTACATTATGTACAAATTTCACAATCGATGGACCAAAAGAAACGGCCCAAAATTACTTGGAAAAAAATCTGGTTCCGTTGACTTGCATTAAAAGTAATGTAGGTTTTTTCCTTCTCCTGTAAAGTTCTCATTTTGGAGATACGAGGTTTTTGTCCGACAACAGCGATATATGTATCGTCTTAATAATGTATTAACTGATTCCACTGATTCCTTAAATGTGGGTACTTCATTCCAGAGTCCTGATATCCATAACTTTAAGAAAATAGAGCTTAATGACTTTTAGACGACTAATGCTTTTAATGTTGCTTTACTCTTACTCTTATGGCCATTTGTCACTTGTCTTGCTTGGGTCGTATGAAACTGTAGCTGGCCATAAAATATATTTCTAAGAAAATCGAAGTAGAAAGATTAAGTGGTTTAAGTAGTGAGAGAGAATGTGCTTCATTTGCAACTTAATTGCCTTTGCTCATGTCTTAAAGTGTAGTATTCAGTAACTGCATGGAAAACAATGCAAACGGATTGAGTTACTATTGTGTTATGGGAGTGAGTGATGGAAGGGATTACTTTGCAATTATTCGAGCACTAAGAATGACAGTGAGGCAGTTTATACATCTGAACTGTTTTATTGTGAATTTTATTATAAAATATTTAGGACCATAATACAATGTAATAAATTACAGCACAATAAGTTAATAAGGCAATAAATAGGCAATAAATTACATAAATAATATAACTTAAAATATAAATAGTTTTTTAATAACATTTCACACGTATAGTCATAATTATTGATCTCTCCAAAACCAGCTGTAGTTTGATGTAGTTTTGCTGTCAGTTACAGGCTGTTGCAGAGCAGCTCATCCTTGAGCTTACATGGTTTTTACATGTTTTAATATAAAACAGTTATACCGGTTCCCCATCTACAGTGCTGTATTTCCTCAGTGCTGGAGATGGGAAACACTGTGAGAGATCATGAGCAGAAAGATCAGTCGACTAGACAACCATCGCAGAGTTGCGCTTTATCTTTTCACTCCCTTCTCCACTCCTAACCAGTCCGACCTCACAAGGCAAACACGCCGAAAAAAGTCATCCCTTGATTAGTCTCCACCTGCGGCAGCATCTTCTCCATCATCTTGGTGTAGAGACGGTCTCCGGCCTGCAGCTTAAAGACAGCTCCCAGGTAAATGGCACCGAACCACGTCACCTCGTCGTCCTCTTCAGACTGCTTGGGGGATTTCGTGCAGGCCGTCCGCACGGCGCTCAGCAGAGGCTTTTCATCGCCGTACGAGTCGGACCAGCGGTAGACCATGTGGCTCAGCTGGACCACGGCCTCCTCGTCGCTTCCATCAGCATTAGAGCTGCAGCTGACCCTGTAGGATGCCTGGCTGTAGACGAAGTAGAGGCCGTCATGCGGGATGTGGATTTGGTTGTCCTTCAGCTTCAGGCCTCCTTCTGTGAATGACTGGCCATCGTTGTCCCACCAATCCACAGACTCCTTGTTGTTCTCATTGTAGTGGCCTGTGAAGAGTTAGAGTTTGATCAGTATCAGAAGATGGGAAAGGAGTTTTTCCTATTTGCAATTATTCCTAGCCCTCCTAAATAGAACTTAAGGCTACAGTCTGATTCTTTGAATCCAGCCTGCATACCTCAGTACATGTCATCTAACTAAGTTTGGCTGTTTTTGTTGTTCATACAGAGTTTTTCTTTTTCTAAATAGTCTAAATAGCATTGTATCATAGCCAAGCCTCATGCTTACTCCTTAAATTTTTGCTCTTTTTGTCTGCGTTTACTGCTTTTGAAGATTCGTTTCCATTCATACAGTGTGGACCACAATGAACATAGTGTTTAGATGCCGGACGCAGTCTTACCTAATAAGTGAATGGCAGCTTTTGCACTGCTGGACACTTGCCTTAGAGTGTGTCTGATATCTGAAGGGAGAAAAGGAAGAGAGCTATTAGATCCCTGAACTGGGAAGAGTGAATATAAATGGCCTGATGAACTGAAACAAGCATGGAACTGAACTCACCGTCAGTTTCATCTGGTTTGTGTTGCGTCTGCTGGAGAACCAAAAGAAGGAACAAGAGAAAAGAACCAGGTTATTGCTCATTGTTAAGCTAATCATTAAGACTATATATATATATATATATATATATATATATATATATATATATATATATATATATATACATATATATATTGCTCATTTGAACCCATTGCACATTGTGGTAATGAAGCCACATTGCTTAGGGCCTTCATCAGTCTAGTGTATGTTAATATAACAAGAGTTTATTCCATTTTCCAATTTTGGACCATTTCTATTGGTCCATTCATTGTGAAGAATTCACAAAAGTTAAAACTGGACAAAAAAATCAGGACCAACACAAACGTAATGGGGTTTTGTTATGACAGCAGTTATAGGGCTCAGTAATCTGGCCTGGAACTCACCTTGTTAAATGTAAAGAAGACAGCAGCAGCAGTGCATAGAGCCACGGCCAGAAGAGCCATGACCAACCTCCACCTGCCCGACCACGCTGAAGAAGACTTCTCCCTGCTGACCATCACCTGGGCCAGGTCCACATCCAAAACGATCTGCTTGTCAGTGCTCATTGTCAAAGTGTTTGGTAGATAGTCCTTGCTGGAAAGTAGTCCAAGACACAGTCTTCTTTGGCGCTTGTAGTTGCTAAAGTTACAACTTTGTCAACTGCTCTGACCTCCTCTCAGAGCCGTAGCCTAGCTGACAGAGATGTGGTTGTGTCGGCTGGTGGTGGATTCTGCCTCTTTATCTTCAGCTGCGCTCTTTTAAAGCTCAGCCCTGCCGGCAGTGCAGGGGAAACTCCGCTGATGTCATAACAGAAAGTCTGAAGAACCAAAATGGGACGGAGAGGAAGAAACCATGAAGTTTTTTCTTTGCGAAAGCCTACAGTGAGACACGAACACCCACGCAGCCATGCAGGCACACCTACGCTAAATACAACACACTGGATTGAAATATGAAAGCTGGGAAAATATAATACTTTTACACATCTAACAAGTTGATAAGATAAGGTGTAAACTTTACTACGACAATAAGATATCTGACTATTTGAAGAATGTACGTTTTCAGAAAAGAAATGTGACGAAGTAGCACATTTCTGGCAAATATTACTGTTGATGTTAACATTTAATCCTGCATTTAGGTTTATGTAATGATGTACTGCTTAACATAAATTAACATGTTGCTTAAGTTGAATTTTTAGCCCCAAAATTAATTTGTTAATTTATTTTGAAAAAATGACTTAATTCTTAACTTTCCATGTTACAGTTTATAGTGAATCTTCAAAATGAATGGTTCTAGGCTTGGATGTACCATTCCACACCCTTTAAAAGTGGTTCTGCAAAGGTTATTTGGTAAAGGCAGTGGTTATATGTAGAACCCTGACACCTCAAAGAACCATCTGCATGTATAAATGATTCTATACATAGTCAAATGGCTCTTCTCTGTGATGGAAAACATTATGTAAAGAACATTTAAAATTCTTTAATATAGTCTAGGAATAATATAAATAATATAAAAAATAATATAAAAATAAAGGTTCCAAAAAGGTTCTCAACATGAAGACACAATAGAGCCACTTTTGGTTCCCTAAAGAACCTTCCAATGAATGTCTTTAGAGAGGCGTTTTTGTAAAGGAGATGTCTGAATGTGAAAAACCTTTTTAAAGAACCTCAACATTATGTTAAGGTTCTAGGAAGAACCCTTACAGAACCCTGCAAAAGTTCTTCACATTCGCACAACTTATATACAAAAATAGTTCTTTAAGAAACAAAAAGTGGTTCTTCTGTGTTTATTTTTGTGTAAAATCCCTTCAATATACTCGCTGCATAAATAGAATATTGACTCTTTTTGGGCGGAAGTGACGTAACGTTTTTAGTTTTTTTGGCACTTCCAGAGAATTTTGCTTTTATTTCACAACATGTTTTCCTTCAATATTTCTGCTGATATAAGGCTAAATATAAATGTCGCCAAACTGAGGGGTTTTCTTACATTCAGAGACCAAAATTTCACTTGACTTTTCTTTCTTCCCTGTTTCTCTTTCATTCCACTGTAAGTTTTCCTTCCCTTTTTTGCCTTTGTGTCTATTTCAATCTTTTGTATTGTACAGTCCTAAAAATAAAGATGCCGCAGAGCGTTCTGTGAGTGATTCCATAGAAGAACCTCTTTCTCGTTTCCTGGTGAACCATGTCTGAAAAAGGAATGTTTGAGTGCGAAGAACCTTTTAAAGGTTTGTAATGTGAAAATTCAAGAACAATTCAAGGGTTGTGCCTAGAACTATTGTTGTGCCTAGAATCTACATTATGTGTAGATACTTTTATGATTTTAAAGTTTTTACAATCATAGTTTTCATTAACAAAAATTGAAAGGTTTTTAGGGAACTAAAAGTGGTTCTGCTTTGGCTATGTGTAAAGAACCCACTGTGGTACCTTTCTGTTTTTTAAATACTGTAGTTGAACTAAAAACAAGCCAAAATATACTAAAACAACTCAACATGTTACAGTTTGTAGTGACTCTTAAAACTTAATGGTTCTAGGCTTGGATGTGCAGTTCTACGCCCTTAAAAAGTGGTTCTGCAAGAGTTCTTTAGTAAAAGCAAAGTATGAAATCCAGTCTATTGTGTCTGTTGTGGAGTCTGTCTGAATTGGCAACTTTACAGGAGAAGGAAAAACATCCTTAACTTTCAATGTAAGTTCATTAAAACCGTTTTGATTCAGAGTAATTTTGGAACATTTCTATTGGTCCGTTCATCATGAAATTTTGCCAAAATGTAAACAGCAACTGTTATTTTCAAACAATGTCGAAAAATGAAAAACGACAAAAAATAGATATACAAGGGTTTTTTTTATGGAAGTCCAGAGAGGCCATGAGGTAGTTACAAATTTCTGGATTGTTATCTTGACATAACAAGTTAATTATTATTATTATTATCTCAAGATGACAAAGTTGTTATCTTGAAATATCAAGTTAGTTATCTTGTTATCTCAAGATAACAAAAGTTGTTTTCTTGAGATAATGAGTTAATAATCTTGTTACATCAAGATAACAAAGTTATCTTGACATAACAAGGTAGTTATCTTGTTATCTTGATATAGCAAAAGTTGTTTTCTTGAGATAACGAATTAGTTATCTTGTTATCTCTAAATAAAGTTTTTATCTTGAGATCACAAGTTAATTAACGTGTTATCTCAAGATAGCAATCCAGAAAACTGTAGCGACAGCTCATGGCCTCTCCGGACATCCATAGTGTGCTTCGACTGCAGCGATATTAGATACCGGCTTGCATTGTAGAGCTCACCGGATGGATTCCCCACTGACGTATAGAGCTCATTCCCTCTGCTGTTAGATGTGATTGTGCTGCTGTGCTTGTTTTATTTCCATGTGTTAATATTTCACATATCCACGAGTCACGAAAGGAAAGCCTGGGGGTACACTTAGTTTCAGGCTCGTTTTCTGACCCTCAGTTTCCTTCCTTCAACTAAAAAAAGCGCCCTAGTGCTAATAGAGCTGTTCCTCACCAACGTGTTGCAATCTGCAGTTTTTTTAAGCTTAAAATACTTCATATCTGATGGCATCTTTTTCACAGCAGTTGACAATAGTGTTGTGTTGTCATCAGGCTCTAGGGACTCTTAGCCTAGTAGACACAGGTAGCTGCGTGGCTTTGAAATACGTTTGGCACGAGTTACAGCTAAAAATAAGTGAAGTAGATCTGAAACAAGGTAAAGGTTTGTGGCGGCTGATGGACTGGAATCTGTGAGACAGCTCAGCGCAGCCAGCTGTATTCACTGGAGTAGACGGGGACAGTAGGAAACCTTCCTAGCATGATAGCAGTGAAATAATCACAGTTTTCACAGTGTTACTGTATTATTGTGGTATTAATAAAACATACTGACGATGCTTAAAAAGCACTAAAACAGAAATCATTTCTCAAACATATGAGTAGACTTTCTATTGAACCTCCTATTTCTTTCTAACACCAATCAACTTGAATTAATCTGATAGTCTGAAATGACCACCAACAGTGCAGTTTATTATTCAGATTATACCTGAAATACTGTGCAAGTCAGAGCACCCATTCATTTGTTTCATTTCCAGTCGAAACAGCCTGATTTTTCTGAGGAGGTGAGATGTCAGATAATCCACTTGCACAAGAGAGGAAGAAAATCAAGGATCAAGAACAGTGGTTTTAAGGTCCAACTGTGCACCTTCAACAAGTTTTTCCAGGTAAAAGTACATATTTGGACCTTTTCATAATGTAATGTTTTAAAACAGAACAGTAAAATAAAAGCCTGGAGACGAGACGGGGTGTGTGGAGTCAGTACAACTTAGAGAATATAATTTCAGTGGATTGTGGTACAGTTATGTTCCCTGACTAAAGGTACTGAGATGTACCCTTGAGGGTCCCACCTCAGTGCTAAGAGGGGAACTGCCCCAGTGACAGTTTTATACCTTTTTGTCTGAGAGTGAACGACTAGCTGCAACACCTGGTAGACACCAAAACTGCCCCCATCAGATAAACAGCACTTAAAGCTTTCATCTCTGAGAGAGAGGAGAAAATCAAGCTGCTTCAGATCTGAAAACATCCACAGGTGTTTCTGTCCATCCTTCCACTGTGAGAAGACGACTCAGCGCTGTGGGTCTGGAAGGATGTGTAGCTGTTCAAGAAGAACCTCACTGAGAAAAATAGACATCAAACAAAGAAGCTGAACAATGGACTGACCACCACTGAGTCCAGACCTCAACACCACTGAATGTGTTTATTACTCAGATGGTGAGAAGCAGAAAAAGCAAAACCAACTTCTAAGACTGAACTCTGGAGGTGCATCCCTGCAGATTTCTTTGAAAAACTGAAAGTAAGTCTCCTGAGAAAAACGGAAGCTGTATCAAAGGTGAGGAGCCGACAGACCAAACACTGAAAAGCTTTTTAAAAGATGGTTATCATAATAATTAAAAACTACTCTGAAACTCCACTCTCAGAAATAAAGGTATGAAACTGTCGCTGGGGCAGTCCCCCTCTTGTCACTGGGGTGGTTCCCTCAAAGGTACATCTCAGTACCTTTAGTCAGGGAACATAACTGTACTATAATCCAGTGAAATTATATTTTCTAAGCTGGACTCCACACACCCCGTCTCGTCTCCAGGCTTTTTATTTTACTGTTCTGTTTTAAAACATTCGGTTATGAAAAGATACAAATATGAAATGGAAACCTGGAAAACTTATTTAAGGTGCACAATTGGACCTTAAAACCACTGTTGTACCTTTGAGGGAACATTTACATTGTTTGTACCTTGATGAATGAAAAATGCACACACCTTTATTTCTAACAGTGCAACTATTTATGATTCTCATTGTGGTTCTCAAAGTAATAACCACCTCATCAATTAACTGACCAACCTTCCCACACATATGAGAAACAGGATTGCTGTGAGAACCAAACCTACAGAATAACAACACACAGGGTGATTAACTGTGACTGATGCAGTTCCTTGTAGCAGTACGTAAATAGCAGGGGAGGAAATGAACGCGTGGTGTTCAGCTCATCAGAGATTCCCGGGTGACCTCAAAATCACATTTACATACGAATGTAATGCCCTTCTCATGACATGACCATGCCATCATTTGACTTCATTCATGCAACAAATGTTGGCATTTGTTCTGACTCTGGTAAGTTTAGGTCTTTATGAGGCCTTTAAAGGAACACTTCACCAAAAAATCAATTT